GGTGCTAACGCAGAAGCACGAGGAGTCACAGGGACACTGCTGGATGCAGTGATGGCGGTAGCCGAGGTGGACGTCGGGAGCTCGGACTCCTCCAGAGCAAGGAGCGACTGGGCCTCAAGGAACGAGGGTAGCGGAGTCTTCGTCTTCAATATGGAGGCCATGCCGCGGAGGGGCTCGTTGACGCCATGGAGGAGGGCGAGCAATATGGTAGGATCACTGACCGGTTGATCCAAATCAGCGAGCCCATCAGCGAGGTCTTTGAGCCGCTGAGCATATTCAAGTACCGGCAAATCGCCCTGGGACAAATAGCGAAACTTGGCTTCAAGAGTCATGGCACGAGATGCTTTGTTGTCGAGGAAGAGATTGGCCACCTTGGTCCATATGGTGTGGGCAGAGGCGTCGCTCTCCATGATGAGGCGCATCACGCGGGGGGACGACGACGAGTAGATGAGAGAGCGGATTGAGCAATCAATAGCCAACCATGTAGCATCAGGAGCTTCGGGTGCCGGGGTGCCATCGATGTGAGATAGCACACCAAATTTTCCGGCGAGAGTGAGGAATAATTCACGCCAGGTGGAATAATTGGGTGGATCGAGTTCGAGGGCGAAGGGGCGAGAGCCGAAGCCAAGCTCGGGCCAGGGTTGAGAGGAGGGAGAGCAGCGACGATGGCTGCAGCCAAGGCGGCGGCAGCCTGGGCGTCGTCATCTGCCATGGAGGAGGAAGGATGGGAGGAGGGAGGAGGGACACGAGGTAGGGGAGAAGTCAGGATCGGTAATCAGGCTGATACCATGATAGTAACTGGCTTAGCACTATCCATTCATTGAGCAACAGTTTAAATAGAGATTACTTGACTCTTCACATGATTACATGACTCTTCACGTAATGGGGCTCTTCAATCTAGACTTATCATATTTTAGACCATGCGTATTCTAATACATGTTCTTTGAATAGAAAAAAATCTGCAATGGCCTTTTCAAGACCCAGCTTGAATGAGCTGGTTGGATCATCAACCAAACTTAATAATACGATTAAACTTGTAAAGCCACCACTTCAGGTTTTTTTCCCTCTGAGTATAGCACCAAATGTACAGTCCCCCCCCCCCTTCTCTGTATCTCTTTTTTCATTCTGCATTTACAATGAAAATCAGTAAAAATAAATAATACAACTAAAGTACTTAGCAATTATTATTTTAGTAAAACACGCAATAGGCAGAGCTCCTCTTCCTTGCTTTCGACGTAGCCCCATAGCCTGCCCTTGGCACTTGGCAGTGCAGCCCCTCTCCTGCTATGCAATATGCTTCCGCCAACGCGCCCTGTCCTTCTCAGCAACTATATGTTTGTGTGGGCGAGGAGGTCATAAAAATATTAAAATATAAAAAAGTATGTCCCGAACTAAAATTTCAGGAACTAGTGCTTTGAGTCACTACAAATCCACGTGACATCGATAGAAATTGCTCATGTAAGGTATGGTATCTATTCCCTATAATATATTGATTAAATGATGTATTTAATTTAATTTAATTGTATTGGAGGATGTGGATCTATCCAGTTTATGTTCTGTCCCTATTGTGTAGAAGTTAGTTGTGTGTCTATTTTTTCATTTACCATTCCATAGATATTGCATATCTGGAAAATTTAAGATTCAATTTATAGAACACAATATTGTACTCTCATTAATATTGGATTTTCACAGAGAATAAGTATCATCTTTTACTAGCCTCGATCACTTGTTCACAACTTTCACTGGCCTCTGCCACCCTATCATTTCCATGCCACTAAAACTCATGGACGTCATCATCATCCTTTTCTTTGTTTTCCTCTTTGTCACCATCTCGATCATGATGTCATCATCACCCCTTTCTTCGCTCTCCTCTTTGTCACCATCTCGATCATCAACCACCCTTTGTTCATTCCCCTGCTCCTCAAATGTCTCTACGTTACATGAGCCCCGATATACCTAGAACAATCACGCATGGGCAATGTCACAATGCAAATCAATACATAGTATATGTCTGGTATGAAGTTTGGCTCTTGATGTGAAGATGGCCCTCTTGGGCAAGAGTGTCCCTAGGCCTGTGCAGGCTGTGTGACTACTTAGGGCCTCCAAATCCAAGGGGCCATGCTAATATAAGTACCTTAAGTATATATTATGTTTTATGCTTTGTTTCAAGCATCCGTAAAAGTCTAAAATGCCCAAGCTAAATCTAATATGTAGTCTATCATGGTGGTAGATGGTTTTTACATCCTGCATTGTGTTTCTCTGCTCTCGCGAGAGGCAAATCAAGGAGATAGTTATTTGATGTCTAGTTCTAATAAATTGTTTATCTTTTTGTTGATCCATACTATTCTATATTTTTTATAATACATTATATTTTATGTTATTATTGTTTTAGTTTGACACTTAATTGAGCTGTAAGGGTCTTTGGATGGCTAGAGGGGTGAATAGCCTAATTAAAATTTCTTGCAAGGAGTCCTAATAAAACCATGTCTAGATTTGTTTTGCAAGACTATGGTGAGAGCAACCTACACAATTTTAGTATCAAGACTATGAACAAAATTAAGGTACTAGAATTGAACAGACTATCTTGGTTTGCTCCCTAGGATGGCAAGTCCTAATATCACTACTTTATGAATTTTAAGAACACAATGTAAAGCACAAGAGTAGAGTGATCAAATGTGATACAACCCAAGGGATGACAAAAGATATATCCTTGTGGTTCGGTGACTTGCTGGTCATCTATATCCACATTGAGGCGAGTCCTAGGATCATCACTTCTCTACCAAGACTCAACCCCGCAAGGTTGCCTCCTCCACTTGAGGGCTTGGTCTCTAAGCCGGCTCGGTCAGAAGACACTCTCAACACTAATGTTCCCTAAAGTTGCTCTTTGCTAACTCCAGCGAGGATGAGCATAAGAGACTCTGACAAATCACCTCCAGAGCACCTCACAATTTTTAATTTGAGTGCTTCAACGGAGTCCTGTTGCACCAAGCTGTATAGGTGGAGGCAAGCATCAAGACTAATAAGCAAACTATGTAGCTACTCGATACAATATCTAAAAGTAAATGCATTAAGATCACACTAATCTATATCTAAAGATGCAATCACTAGCAAGCAAATGAGAGTGGAAACTTAACTTGAGCTCTAGTGTGTGGATATCAGTTAGGGGTTCCAAGAGTTGTAAAATGTTTGGCCACACACTTTATTTATATCCCCACTCAAGAAACTAGTTGTTACCAACCTCCAATAGATTTTTTGAGAGCATTGGAGAGCTCCGGTGAGTCACCGGAGTCCACTATCAGAGCTCCCTCAATGGTCACTAACAACCTATCAGAGGTAGCCATTACTAGTGCTAAGTTCTAGTGTTGTGCTCTCCTGTGGTCACTACCAGTGAGTGTTAAACCTGGCGCGCACAAAAATATCGTCTCTGTTGAGACACTATGTTGTTGAGCTCCGGCGACATCAACGGAGAACTCTAGTGCCCGTTTTGGATCAACGGAGGACAATATGTAGATATGCTTATCAAACCAATTTTTAGAGTCAAATACTATAAAATTTAAGCACCCACCAATTTATTGATAGCAATCTTTACTAATATATATATGTATTATAGCACACAAATAAATCAAACTATCCTTGCATGCAACAAATTTTGAATCTTAACTATACGAAATCATAAATCAATTAAGCGATATGATACCTCCAATTAATCCTGATCCAAACCATTCCAAACATAATAGTAATTCTACAACAAAACCATGTAACCAAACTAAAACCAAATCAACACATGGGAACTCAAGATAAGGAGTGAAGGATTTGAAGGAGGTACCTTCTTGGAGTGATTTCCCCTCAATTTAGGTCTTTTTGATGGAGATCTACACACATGTGGCCGGCTGGCGGACGTCACGCCCGATGAGTTAGGTTTGGTTGTTGGAGGAGAAAGGGAATGAAGTGACAAGAAAGAAGACATGCACGTGTGGCTATATAGGCTTGCTCACGTCAATTGCAATGGCGTGACCAAGCCTATCACGTCATCTCCACATGGCTAGTTCCCTCTTCAAGTGCCAGCGTGGTACCTCAAGTTACGCCATGACCTCTGGCCTTATTCAAAGGGTTTGTGTTCTGAAAATCAGTGTTCGTTGAGGACGACGACAACAACTGGTGGCAGCCAAACGCTAGAGCAGCAGCACCCATTGTAACATTGTGAAATAGCTCGAGCGGCAGCGGCATGAGAAAAGTGAGAAAAAGAGGATGAATACAAGGGCAAAAGGAACATCTAACTCTCAATCTGAGAAATTGATAAAATAACCGTTATACTATCTTACAGCAAATGATCATCACCTTATTCGTTGATGCTAAAATTTGGCTTATGCTGATGTTTATATTAAAATGTTGTGAGAGAAAAATACTATTCCATGACTAAAAAATAGTTCTGAATAAGCTTAAACGAACAGGGTGCATTATTTCATAATAGTATCTAGCAAATTTAACATTAGAAAGCCCCGTATACTCCTAGAAACAAAAGAAAGGGAAGTGAAGTGTCACCCACCCAGTTAAGAGAGCACACAAACAAGCAGAGCCATTACGACTCCACATATCTAACCAGCATTTTCGAATCCCTAAACTATCGGGACCTGACCTTTACTGCTAGATTCTGCGTAAGCACGATTACACAAAGGCTGATGTAGTCAAGAAATGATTGGGATCTAACTTTAAAACGACTGCTTCATCACAAATGGGGCAGTTAAAATCTAAACCACACAACTCAGTAGACTACAGAACATAGATGCTTGAGCGCCACACAAACTACAACAGTTTACAGTTGGTCAGTACTCGTAATTACTGACACTAGATTTAGAGGCATCTCAAGCACCAATGCCAACAGTATCCAAACAAAGTATTCAAATCTATTGGCTGCCCTACACGGAAGATTCAGCTTACAACTCTCGTCAAAGGCTCCTTAGTTCTTGGAGCATCGTCGGCAATTCAGATCTCTCATAGAATCAAGCCTTGGCCCTCTTGCTTCCTGTGCAGGAGGGGCACTTATACTGCTTGATGTGCTCTGCTTTAGCAGGGGTGATCTTGACACACTTGCCGTGGAACCATGTCTCGCATAAGTCGCAGCAGATCCAGAAGTCGTCATAACCTAGGCCACATGCGCCGCACAGCGCAGTCTCATGGTCTTCCTGTGGTTCCCCTTCCTCCCCTTCACTCTCCTCCTCGTCCTTGGGAGGTGGCATCTTTGGGACCCTTGAGTTGGGTTCCGCCTGGCGTGAGGGCTGTGTATTCATCAAATGTTCAGCGCGTCAGCCATCAAAGGAGAATCATGGAGTTAGGCAGCTGGTTGTCATGTCAAACGATATAGCTAAGTGATAAAAAAAACTATATACCTTTGAGCCAGATTTGTTAGTCTTATTGTTGCTTTTAGGAGTTTTTTCTTTGGGCTCTTTCTTGGCAGTTCCTGTGACAACTTCATATATGCTGGGAAGGTTATTGATCATGGTGAAGAGACGTTTCCTGCAAGTCAACCACCAGAAGGTGACTCAATCAGACAGATTTAATTATACAAAGAAAATTTAGTCCCACATGGCTCTGATCAAAATCTAATAATCTATAATATGGAATTCAGGAGACATCAAGAACATGGATTTCACATTAAACATATATAAAATATGACCCAAAAGGTAAGACAGTGCTAAGTAACAATGGAATACGGCAAGTTACTGTCAAACACACCAAAACACTCAAGTATAGTATTTTAAGATCATTCTTAAAGGCTTAGGCAAACTTGATGCCAACTAATTGGCCCTAAACTTTTTACAGAACAAGGGTGAAATACTGTCAAACACACCAAAACACTCAAGTATAGTATTTTAAGATCATTCTTAAAGGCTTAGGCAAACTTGATGCCAACTAATTGGCCCTAAACTTTTTACAGAACAAGGGTGAAACATGCGTCTAATAGATTTAATCCACAACAATGTAGCAGCCAATGCTACTATTCCTAATAATGAATATGCAAACTGGTTTGTTTACAAAACATCTGATCTTCAATCATGCATTCAATGCTCCAGCTGACACATACTTTACTTAATCAATAACAAGATAGGCCCAGTAGCACCCAGAAGCTGAAGAATGTAGCACAAAACTAGTATAGAGATAACACAGACAGAAGTAACTGGACACATGAAATGTTCATATTCTAAGCTTCACCAACAGGAAAAAAAAAGGTAAGACCTCAAAAGCGACACTACACCCAAAATAGCTGACAGCTGCCACTATCTGACATAGACTGGAATAAGGGTTCTGTAGTTGTAAGTTGACTGCTCAACAACATTAGCAGCAGATGGAATGTGCAACTGTTCCATGAAAAAGATGTGCCACTAGTAATCTCCCACCCAAATGTTGGGGCATATTCCCCAGTCATATCATTGGAAAAACAATATCAGTTTGGGAGGAAGGGGGTTATGAAATACCGTTTTCCATCTTCGTTCTCTTATCACTATACCCATCTCTTTCTACTTGTTTCTCAATCAAAACAACAACAACATAGCCTTTCAGTCCCAAGCAAGTTGGGGCGCACTTTGGATTTTGATAAGAATAACATAGTGCTTGTATTTTGGTTTTGAAAATGAAAAAAATAAGAAACTCGGCCAATAGGGAAAAAAATAAGAAACTCGGCCAATAGCGTGCGGACACGGTGCGGATGACTGGACGGCTGCTGTGTGCTTGCTCTGTTTTTGCTCTCCCATTGCGAGCTCTTTTTCCGCCCGTGGCTCTTTCTTCCTGCTCGCGCGCGCACCCGAGGTGCTTTCCTGCCCGCCCGCACGCGAAACCCCGCCCGCTTGCGCACTTCCGCCCGCGCACCAGCGCCGCCCAAGGCCGCTTTTCGACACTTCCGGGCCGCTTAGACGGTGCCTCGCGCCGTCGCGCGTAGGCGCAGCAACGAGGCGCGCCTAGCGCTTAATTGGCCGCACAGGCCCTAAACACAACGCTGGGCCAACATTTAGCGCTTAATCGCGATTAAGCGTAGTTTAATTACGTTTTTTCAAACCTTGTTTATATAACAGTCAAACAGAAAAATCTTATCTTAGAATGGAACAAATGGAATACCTGGATTCCTTGTCGAATCCAAACCTTGCTCCAAAATAAAATGCAACAGACATTAGCCAAGAATCACTATGCACTGCAACAAGTGATAGCCAATCTTTTTCATTCATCCCATCACGAGCAAAGTTAATTCCCAGAGCTGGCTCTGGGAGTTCAGGAGGGACCTCCTCAGCAGGCAAGTTCACTTCCCATGTCTCATTGGGAAGTCCATATAAACATAGGTTCTCCTTCTCTGCACAAAAGAAAAGAAAATAATATCTCGAATAAGGTATTTGCGGTTGTTTCAGGCTCTAAACCTAAAATAGCTCACTCTAAAAGAAAATGAATCAAGAGACATAAAGCTGAAACTCTGTAAACACAATAAACACAGGATGAATAGGAGAGATTAAATTGACCATATGAAATTATTAAGCATTCCATCTCTCCTACGAGTTCTTAAAAGAATATATATATATGAAATTATTAAGCATTCCATCTCATGGGTCAAAGAAAATCGAAAAAAGTTGCTGTTTGGTTAAACAAGTTCTTTTAAAAGAATATATATATTGAACATTCCATGAAAAAAGGAAAGGGAACACAAAAGGGCAGTCTTTTTTACCAAAAGCATGAAAAAGTAGCACCATGCCCTTTGTAACACTAGACATGAATAAATCAGTTCCATATCAACAACCAATAAAAAGACTATTGCCCATGCACATTGCTTGCCTTTCCCACCCACTACTTTTGATCAGTACTGAGCAATTAATCTTGCATTTCCAGTGACACCTCTTGGTACCAACTTCCTGTGCTAAGCATCTAATAATGTTGGCAATTTAATGTGGTACAGATACAGATTTTGAACCAGATACAGATTTTGAACCCCCGCATATGTGGGAAACAAAATCATAAATGTGACATTAATAACCAACATACTCCTTCCGTCCCAAAATAAATCAGATTCTAGCTATGTATCCAGACAAAGCTCTCTGATCCTATCCACAATTATAAGCGACCAGGGTACATGCATTTGTTTGCCAACTTCTGTCACCATCGATTTAGGTGGGCATTGACAAAGTGGGAAATAAGGAGTTGAATCAAGAGAAAAGTGTTTGCAATACTCTCATTGCCAAAACCGAGTAAGTAATTTTGGTGTCCAGAAACGAAACCAATGTTTTCGACTAGGACAAAGAAATGCTATCCTGACACTCCCCACTACCAGACATCATCAGTGACTCACTGACGAAACATCCCGAAAATGCCCCTTGTACAGTTGCGGCAGAGGTCGTTGTCCGGGAGCATAACAGTAAATCGACAGCCGCACGATTTTTGGTGATGACTGGCCGGCCGTGCGGTCGACCAGCTCAGAAGATAAGGATTCCCTCCCCCGTCCGCCTTTCCGCTTTCCCACCCCGAGATGAACAGCACAAGGAGGAGTAACTAGAACGTCGCGAAACCGAAAGCAAAGCTCAGCGGCTGTCACCAGCAAGATCGGAGCAGCAATTCCGCCGCGGCCAAATAGCCTCCTAGGGCGCACCAGAACCAATGAATGGGCGGAGGGACGTCATAAATTAATAAGTGAAAAAAAAACTCGAAAAATCAGCGGACTAACCGCTCCCCCCAGATCGGATTTTTGGAGAGAGGTATCCGTAACTGCAAAGCAAACACGCTCCAAATCCGTGTGGTGACATCTGAATCCGCACCCCCAAAACCAAAACCCTAGGAATCCCAGCCGGATCGGGGGAGCAGGCAGGCTCACCTGGGTCGCACATCACGTAGAACTTCTCCACATCTGCAGCGACAGCGGCAAACCAGTCAGCACAGAACTCGGAGACGGAGGGGGAGAGAGAGAGGAACGCACAAGCGAGGGAGATGCGGGCATTACCGGTGGTGAGCGCCCTGATCAGGCCGGCCTGGCGCGCGCGGTAGTCCCGGAAGACGTCCTCCGGCGAGCGCGGGACCGGCGGCGTGCCCGGGAAGGCGGCTCCTCCGTCCATTCGTCCCCGAAGCTTGGTCAGGGCGGGGGCCGTAGGGTTTTGGGAGGGAGGGAGGGGCGAGGAGAGCTGCTGGGGATTACGCGAGGACGGCGAGGAGTCGATTGGAAGGAATTGGGAAGCGTCGGCGCTGAGATAGAGAAGACTTCTCTCGTCTCGGAGAAGAAAAGGGAAAGGTCCGTCCTCCTACGTGTGTTCACACGCGCGCAGGCGCAGCCGCAGTCGCGGGCCTTCCAATGCGCCCGATAGTTTGCGGGCCTATTTGGCACACCACTGACCCCACGGCCCATGAGAAGCTAATGTGGGTTTTTATTCCTCGGCTCAAATTTATTTACCATCAAAAAATATTTTTATTCCACTAAAAAATCAAAAAGTATTTTTATCCCACTAAAAAAAATCAAAAAATATTTTTTATTCTGCAAAAAAAAATCAAAAAATATTTTTATATTATATGTTGCACTTACTCAGCCGAGTCATAGCTAGTCTTATTATTTACTGCCATGTCATATAGAATAAAATGAAACATGCTCACTCTGAGACCAGTCTCGGTGAAAAGTTTTATGGTATTGTTTCAAACATTGTCGTGTCGCATAGAATCAAATAAGATATGGATGAAACACTCACTTTTAATAAAAAATTCATTATATGGTTTTATAGACATTTAATTTCACGACTCATAGCGAGTTGGTCACCATGGCAAGTGAGTTTCACCTAAGGTAGTGTTTGGTGTGGCTCAAGGTGCTCCGGCTCTTACCTTGGTCCTGTAAAACACTGTTGATGACTGTAGGTGCTCTCAGTAGGGCTCCGGCTCCTTCCAATCTCCACTGCAAAACCAACGAAGCCGGAGGAGCTACGTTTTGGAGGCTCCGGCGGCTCCTCGGTGCTATAATAGCCAGAGTGGGAGCCGCTGGAGCCCCTCCAAACGGGGCCTAAATGAAACTCGCTTCTCTCTCTTTTTAGAACATTGCCATGTCACAAAAAATGCCTATGTGGCAAACTACTAAATGCCGATGAAACTCATATAAAACTCCCACCGAGACTAGCCTAAGCAAAACTTCATGAGGATAAAACAAGCTATAAAAAACTACAACCATCGACCTAGCAATGATGAAAATTGATGGTCGGCGTGGTGGCGTTGCGATGATTGCATTAGGGTGCTCTTCATTGTGCCTGTCGATTAACCTACTAGCGATTCGGTGAGCAGTATCAACCCCCTAGGCTGCATCTTGGACTTCCCGCTTCATGAGAATTGATGTTGAGACATCATAAGGATCATGTGCTTATGATTATATCTTTTATTTTTCTTGAATTAGATGATAACACAAATCTAGTACTAACATGTGTTAAATATGTATTACACAAGTTATGCAAGAAAAGAAGTGGCGTGAAGACCAGTGAAGAAGCGGAGCAAAAAAAAGTAAGTGCATAGAAAATACACACATAGGACGGTCCTGCGAGAATAAAAATACAAGCGCCGAATGATTGATGAAGAGAAGTGCTTAGGAAATATTCGTCGCTGGAACATTCACCAAACAATTCGATGCAAAGTCTTATGTTTGTTGTACCATTCGACGATGATTACAAACTTGGCTAGAAGTGAGGTATTGTTAGACAGATGATCCGATGTAGGAAAAGTGAAGACGGCTTTATCATTCGGTGTGCGGAAAAAGTTCAATGGCTAGGAGTACCATATGATATACAATGAATATTTTGAAAACAATGGATCACTCGGTGTGCATAGTTTTCTAGCAAACTCTTTCTAATAGATAGTCGAGGGGGATGGAGCTATATATTTGGGGTTGACTCACTTGTCTATGTGTGGTGGAGTGCCCCAAGGCTATTACAACTTAGAACAAGCATTTCCACACTCCATGTACTGTCGCATGTCATTCAAGATCACATCCAAGTCTAGGATAGACATTATACTACATCCTTATGAGGTTTTAGACCTTAGTGCTTGAGCGCTTTGAGCCATCGTATTGACCTTGTATCTTGGTGGTTTGGAGCACTTGTGGTCTTCGTGACCTCCTGGTGAAGGCATGGCGGCCTTCGAGGTGGAGACTCTCCATTCATGGTGTGGACCGACATATTGGTGTGCAGGGGACGAGGAGACCCCCTACCTTGTGTCAGAAAGCTTTGTAGTGGACATGATGTCAAGGTGACCGAAAGAGCTAGGTGACAATGGCGAGGTTATGCAACTCACGACACTAGCCTTTTGGTTTGTTGGTGCCTTGTATGGCATATCCAACACCGCGATTGGAAGAGACTCGGCGACCGGCCGAGAGCATACCTTGGTGGAGCTCCAACTTTAATTAGGGTTTCTTTTTGGCAACTGACACCATGGGATAAATCACCATGTCTCTAGGAGTTTGCCTTCTCTATCTTTAGCTCTTTACATACTGCGTTTATTGCTTATGCACGTATTTTGCTTGTGTGACATTTACCTTCCTAGATTAGCTATAGGCTAGTTGATAGGAATGGCTATATGCCATGAATTTATTTGTGGGTTAAGGGTAACTTAGAGTACACTAGAGAAACCTTAAGTGCACGTCTTGCTAAAGTAATTTATGTTTTTTCTCTAGTGGTAGTTTAATTAGAGCCCTAGGAGTTTAAGTTTTGATTAGACACCCTATCCATCCCTTGGGTGCACACGGGACCTTTTCAGTCGTAGATATGTTGGTGATGATTTTCCAATAGAAATATCACAAGTACCATGAGGGAAAGGTAAAAAAACAAGCACGTAGTGAAATAGAATGTGAAATTATGCTGAGCTCCCAAGTAGTGGGAGGGAAAAGTGATCTCTGACTTCAGGCTTGTGAAACAATGAGCCGACGACTCATAGGCAGTGGCTTGGTTAAGAGAATGGAAACCACCAAAACCATAGCAAAAGCGAGTCTTCGTTGGGCGATTGTCACTGCTTATGGACCTGAATGTAGGTGATCTATCCATGACTAGGATGAAGCTTGGATGAAACTAAGTAGAGGTCCGAATTGACTGATGTTGAAGAATAACGGATGAGTTGTGGATAGGGGGTGAAATGCCACCCAAACCCACAATTGGCTACATCTAGGGGTTACGAAAGAAACAAAACCAAAATATTTACCTTTTAGAAAATTCAAACGAAGGATATTACTTTATTCTTCTGAAGGTGGGAGAACAGATCAAACTGATTATTGATCAAAATGTGGGTTTAAAAATTAGGTAATTAACTTCTGCTTAACCCAGGAAGAAATTGGATTGATTTTTGAGAAATTGAATTCAGTTAAGATAGCCAAAATTAAGATAGCAATTTCTGAAACATATGAGGTAGGAACTCTCAGGTACGGTTCTAAGGAAAGGAACTGCCTATTCCGACCAAGGAGAGCATGCCATTGTACATGGCGATTTAGACCGATTGGTAATACGATCCAACGGTGATAATCCATTATCACCGGCGGTGATAACCGCCCACTTTCATCAACGAGAGGCGAAACCAGTGGTAATGAGTGTTCCCAAGCGACAATGAAAATGTTTGTGTAGTAGTGGTAAGAAGGGGGACACGCCGGCGAGGGGCCGGGAAGGGAAAGGAGAGAGTGGACCCTATTGCCACTTGTCATCCATGTTTAACAAGTTTAGTGCCCAAATTTAGAGTTGGATAGATGGCTAAAATCAAACTCTGACTATAGTTGAGTGGCAAAAATAGACTTCACCCATGTATCAAATATATAATTGAGAGTTTGTGAACTTAAATGAAAACATTGGACAGATAGATTTTGAGACCCCTCATAAATTCCAATCTTTCATGTATCTTTCCGGGGGGGGAGAGAGAGAGAGAGAGAGAGAGAGAGTTATTTAACAACACTATCCGAAACTTATTTGGATCCAAGCCACATATAGCAGACCATTAATTTGTACCTTTCGGATTTCAAAATACAAATGCAAATTGTCAAAAAAATATTTGGTCACACCGTAGAGGCGTGAGCAAAAATAATGCATGTGAACATCTGCATTAGTGATATAATATTTGCATAAAAGAATGCGGCATTGTAGTTGGCGCTAGGCAGACAAGCAAAGATACGTGAGCTATATGTCCTTAATTTCTTTCCACGATACATACAAACATTTTCTTAAAATTATGGAAAATATAAAAGATAATAATTTAACTGAACATAACTCTCACAAAAGATATGTTATATTATGGTGATTATGAATTTAAATAAAAAATTCAGTTTCTAGGATAAATAATAAAAAATTCAAAAAACTTAGAACAAAATGATCATTGTTTGTCAAATACCCAGAAACTTGTTCATTAACAAACCACGCTCGCCACGAATCAATGACTCCATAGCCTAAAGATGTGGTCCATGCTAGGCTCCCAGTGTAAGGTACACACATATCATGGTCACCACTGAAACAAATGCAAATTAAATGAAATATATCAATGATAATAGGAGCTTCTTCTGAGATTAATAAGGGCAGTCCCAACGAAAGAAACTAGTAGTTTCTATAATATAAGATACCGCACCAAAAAAGTATTGTTTTTCAACCCATGGTTTCTATGAGTAATAATTATTTTCTCTTTTTCTCTCCCAACTCTATCTTCTTCCTCCAATGAGAGTGCGGCACGAGCCACCAAGAAATTTGCGGTTTCTCCCCAATGACGATTTTATGGTTTCTTGATGCATTGGGTCAAGAGAAGACCTGATTTCTTCATGAGGAAACCATTTCTAGGATTTTTGCTCTCTTTCTTCATTAATTACGTTGCCATGTCAACATTTTACCTACGTGGCAAGTCATTTAATAAAGATAAAAACCATCATCAATACACCATTGGGACTGTCCTAAGAATATGAGATTCGAAAGCATATTTTGCGTTCTTAAAGTACCTGTAAATGAGAGCACGGTAACCCTGGCTCGTAAAGTTTTTGTGATAAATGATAGTACTCCCAGCATCATGGTGATACGTCCATTTATCTGTGCATAGGATCCAAGGTCCAATTGAACCGACCTAGCATGTGCATGAT